TCCAGCCAATGGGAAGGGGTAGAGGGCGGTCTCTATGGGCGGGATCGGTGGTGGGGGATGTCACGTAGCTACGAGACCCGGCTCAGTTGCCTCCGAGTCTTTGAAGTGTGCAGATTGCGCCCAAAGTGAAAGTGTGTTTAGTGCTCGCGTCGAGAGTCAAGATGGACCGAACCATCGAGCAGCGTGGTGCCATAAAATTTTGCGTTAGACTGAAGAAATCTGTTACGGAGACTTTCGAAATGATCCGTGAGGCTTACCAGGGCAAAGCCATTGATCCGTGAGGCTTACAAGGGTAAAGCCATTGATCCGTGAGGCTTACAAGGGCAAAGCCATGTCCAGAACGCGTGTTTTTGAGTGGTAGAAAAAATTCAGAGATGGCCAAACACAATGTGGCAACGCTGCCCCAACCACCCTACAGTTCAGATATGGCTCCCCTGACTTCTTTTTGTTCCCTCGGATCAAAAGGTGCCTGAAAGGACATCGTTTCGGAACGATTGAGGTCCAAGCTTCGACGAAGTGCCTGAACAGCCTTGCAATTGACTTCGAGGGGGCGTACAAAGACTGGAAAAAGCGCTGGCAGCGGTGTATTGATGCAGAAGGGTCATATTTTGAAGAATATTAACTCACTGTACATCTTCAATGAATTTTTTTTATAACTTCAGTCCCGATACTTATTGGACAAACTCTGTACATTTTCATGCAATCGCCAATATTTATCTGATATTATCCTTGTTGACTCCATAGCTTTTCTTCAAAATTATCACGGCACACACACTTCGCAACTTTTAAAACTATTATACATTAAAAATATAACCTCATTACAACTCCATCCTCATATACGCGAACTGTCACTCAACTTCGCCGCGATGACAGTTACAAATCGGTAAATCGGTAATCGTTAGAGAACCTCTAGTACAGAAAATCACCAGCTTGGTCATGTGACCAGCTACTCAGCTACTCTGCGATTGGCTGGCATAAACATGTTCGGATTTGGACATTGCGACGCCGATGCAAAACCATATATATATATATATATATATATATATATATATATATATATATATATATATATAAAAGCATTTGTTCTGCATTGGCGTCGCAATCCCT